AGCTTCACTTTGGTCAGCCACTGGCTCAGTTCTTTTGCAACCCGTTCGGTCTCCGCGGCCACTGATTTGCCCACGGCCGGCAGCGACATAGAAGATGGTGGCGCTGGCCTGCTGAAGGTGGAGCGCCTTTATTTTGTTGCTTTGATAGTTTGTCTTGTTTTGTTTCGGCTTCTTCCGCGCCCTCGTTTTCGGCACAGCGTGCCTCAAAAAATCCAAATCGCACTTTCTCCGCCTCCCCCACTTTTCTAAGGGGAGGCTACTCCGGCAGGGGGCTCCTCGGGTTCAGCCTCTGCTACTTTCCGCGTGGGCGGCGGTGGCACGACGGAAGCCTCGAAGGGCTGTGGAACGACACGTGTCGCGGTAGAATGGCGTCAGTTGTGAAAAAATGACAAAAAAAAACTCAAAGGCAAGGGGGTAAAAAAGTATATAAATGAATGCAGAGATGGGAGGCTGCGTCGAAGAAACAACGGCAACCAGGACACGAACCCAACGCCAAACTCCTCAGAGTAAGAGGAACAAATCTGCCTACCTTCCCCCCGTTCCCGTCCTTTTTTTTTTTTTTTCGTGGTTCCCTCCGCGCAAGCGGCCAAACACAAGGTGCACAAGTGCCGAAAAAGCTGTGCTCAGGCGCGCGTCCGATTTGGGCGCGGCCTGTGAAACTGATATGTTGACATTCCTCCTACTTTTCCTAATATTTGAAAATGACGGTTTCAACGGGCTCGCGCCTCGCTTTGCAAGATACAACGGCTTCCCGATATTCATCCAAGGCGGCTCGTGAAACCCTGCGGTTGTTTTCCATCTTATTAAAGTCGAAGTCGTTGGCTATTATAGCCGGCGGTGCCTGAATGAGGTGACAAAGGTGCGTCTGGTAGGCGTTGCTGCGAAAATAGAGCTCATTTACGCGGTACATCGCAAAAGCCACAGTGCCAAGCACCAAGATATCCCCAACAACGGCGTACTCGCGTGTTTCGTCAGCGATGCTTTGCCGGCGACTAAACTTATGATACCAATCCGCCTTGAATGGAAGTTTTACCGGCCAAGGCCACCCGCCGTAGGTGTCACTCCCAATTCGCCGCAGAAGCGTGCGGGAAAACATGATTTGTAATTCCTGCGACAAGAAAGCAAAAAAAAAACAATATAAGTAAATTGAATAAAGGATTTGAAGATTTCCCAGTGCGGTGTATGCCAAATCAAGCTGCAGGCTACTTGCGCTAGAGGTGGCAAACAAAGGGGGAATAAAGAGAAGCGGGCAAACGAACCAACAAACATTATGAGGAAGGCCAAAGCCCAAGCGAGACATACACAATGCAAGAACATAAATAAGCGGTATAATAACATGACAAAGAGGATCGTCTTCCTGAAATGCTCGAGTGTATAAAAATGAAGAGAGTTCAAAACGCACAGATGCACGCAACGCCAACAATAATAAAAAAACAGTCTCACACTCCACCTTTCCCCCGTTCTTCTCCCCCGCTGAGTGGAGGAATGTGTCTCCCTTCTTCCGCACCTTCCAAAGCTGGGGAGGAGGAGGGGGCAGGGTAATCACACATAACCCACACAAGATAAAGCCTTGCGTATAACTACCCATCACGGAGGCAACTGGGACATTTCCTGAAATTAAACATGAAAGAGGGAACAGACACGTTTTTTTTTTTAGCTGTGCTGATGGATGGCTCAGCCCACTTCACCTTTTTTTTGCTTTTGTTTGTTTGTTTGTGGTTTCTGCTGGGCCTCTCGTCCTTGTTCTTCGTTTCCCGTCATAATTTGCCCGGATTTTTTTTTCTTTTGCGGCAGCATCATCCTCTTGCACCAATCTGGTATAACGTCACTCTTTTCCACCCTCGCATTACCTCAAAAGGCCACGCCATTGATCATTGCCCCGATGGTTTGGTTCAAATTGGCATTAATGAACCCCTCCGCCTCCATCTGTAGGTGGAGAATGGGATTCATGCGGCCAATATTCCCCACGTCGTCCTCGTCAAGGCCCTGGGCAATAAAACGCTCCGCCTGTTCCGCAAGCGACGTCAATACACGGATTTTTTCCCGTATCGTCCGTCGGTCAAATTTCTCCATATTTTCAAGGCGGAAACCCTCTTGCCAGCCCTTCTTGTAGACATTCAACAACAACGCCAACTCATGATTCTTCTTCCGAAACGTGATCGGAAGGCTATAGTAGTCACGATCAAGGCCGCGGGTCAGTGCAATAGGTGACGGCCGTGTCAGCCAGCCGAGGTTGCTTGTGGTTTGGCGCGGCTCCTCGTACACATTGCGCCCTCCCATAATTGCATCTTTTGTGGTGCGAAACGCATCAATCACAACTTTGCCTCGCACAGACTGAATGGGGTCAATCACGACCGAAACACTCCGCGGGGTCAATTGCTCGTAGTTGCCCGCCGTCATCACATCCTCTCCGGAGAGCCAGCAACCAAAGCCTGGGTGACTGTGGTACCACCCGACAACCTTCTCGGAGCGACCCACAACAGAGAGCTTGTCTAGCATCTGCACCTGGTACTCCGGGTCCACTGCCTCGACGGACTGGCCAGTAGCCGTTTGAGGCATAGAGAATACATCCGTAACGCGGATGGTGTAGTTGTCAATCTGCTCGCCAATCATGAGCCCCATCACCTCCAGCGGCACCCCAGCCCGACCGTGCAGGAGCATCTTTAGCAGCGCAAGGGAGGAGATCTGAACGGTCTCGGCCGTGTCACGCAAATCCTCCGTCGGGACGGCGCGTGCGTTGCCGCCTCCCGTCTGGGCCCGAAGCAGGTTTGCAATATTGTTCATCCCCTTCCCCTATTTATGACAGTTCCCTTGCTGTTGTTTGTGCTGCTGCTGCCGGTTATTTTTTTTTTCCTTTTTTTTCCCCCTTTTCCTTTTGCTCTGGCTCAAAAGAGGCAAACACGGAAGAAACAACAAGAAAAAGGAGAGGGGTGCTGGTTTGGCTAGACGAAGCATGACCGAACATTTTCTTTCTTGAAGGACCTTTCTGGGCTTTTTGTGGAGCGCACGCGGAGTGCCGAATGCTGCCGTCGTTGTTATCGTTGTTTTTTTGCCTCCTGTTTTTTTTTTTTCGGGTGATCCGTCAGCACACATACACACAGAGGCGCCTTGCAATTGGCGTTTCCACTTCCATCGTCCTCTCTATCTAAATATTGCTCCCACGGTGCGTGGACTGTACATGCCCATCTCCTCCGTCTATAGGCCATCGCTGGCATCCACCTCCAACACGCCGTATGCATCCTCAAAGACCCATCACACTTCTATGAGTCAGTCAGGGGGGCTTGAAAGGCCCTGCCACTGCCTTCGGTGCCACTTCTGGCGCCGCCGTCCACCGGCTATCACCTCCTCCTCCTCCTCCAACTCAGCAGCCTCTCCAACTTCGCTATCATCATTCGCACCGAGAGAGATAAGAAGCAGCTCCGATTGCTCATCTGCCCGTGTTGCGCATCGAGAGACAGCATTTCGTCCCGCGAACACCTCCCGCTGCACTTCGTCCACAAAATCAAGTACCCCCTCAATGATGCGGAGCAATGTTGACACCGGAACGGAGTCTGGCATCTGCGTGTGGAGGACAGCACTGTCTTCCTGTCTTGACCCTTCTTCTTGTTCTTGCGAGGGCCCGGCTTGAAGCTTCTGATCCCGCAAGGCCCCGAGAAAGTCCCGCAGATCGCGACAGGAGGCCACGATACGTGACGCAGAGCGCTCGCTAACCTCCTGCACCTCCTCCACAAGGGCGGACAACGCACGACGTAGCATGACGGAGACTTCATTGTCAATACCAACTATCCTCTCTCCTTCTTCTGCTTCTGCCTCTTCGTCTCTCATCCTTTTTGTGTCGTCCTCGTCAAAATTCATCGTCACCCGTGCATGTCCATGAAGCCGACAAGATTGATGTCTCTCGAGCAGAGCCGCGTGTTCCTCTTGCACCTCCCGCAGGTGCTTCAAGGTGCACTTTATCAGGTGATCGTAATGCCGAAACAGTTCGAGACTATTTTTCCCCGTCACCCGTCGACGCACCTCATGTCGCAAATGCTGAAGCTGCTGCCAGAAACTTAGGGCCGATGAAGACATTTGGCGCCAGGCATCGTTGGTGGCAAACGTATCAACAGTCGAATCCTTCAGTGCATCGCAACGCTTCTCTCCGTGCTGTTTCTGCCGCTGCGCATAGAGGCGGCGTTTGACTTCTGCTGCCACGCGCCGCTTCGTCTTTTCGTTCCACAGCTGGTTGACAGCAGTGAGAAAGGGATAGAAACTCTCGTAGCTGAGTGAAGGGAAGTATCGATTCTTAAACTTCTGCGCCTCAACAAAAACGGCATAGGGAATCCAAAAGTCCTTATCGTTTTGACGGCCTTGTAGCACGTCAGACGCTGGCGGAACACGTTGAGAAGCTTCCCCTCCCCTGCCACAGCGCGCGGTATCCTCCATATCGCCGAGACAAACCTTCCTGCGACGCAAAAAGTTATTCTCGTCGTCCATGAGGTCTTGCAGTTGCTTGCACCACTGACCGTTTAGGTAGACGTTGCTTGACTGCAGCATTAAATTTCCACCGTAAACGCCATCATCGACGCCGGTTCCAGCAGCCACCGCGGCGAGGCCACCATTGCGCCGTCTCTGGGTTTGTACGTGTTGCTCTGCGTCATCGCCTGTCGTCCTCTGGTCACGTGTCACGGCTCCAAGTGTGTACCCCGTGAACAGCATGTCACCCTCTATCTCGTTTACTCGCAGGTATTGCCGCATCTCCGGTACCTCACGAAGAAGTCGAAGCAAACGCGCCATGCTAAGACGCGTGGCTACCACCTCAGCCTCAAGCTCACGCTTTTGATCCACGTGGCTTTGCATAGCCTTCACAGCCCCCGCCACACGTGCCTCTATGTTTTCCTGAATGGCCTCCAGCTTGGAGTGAAGCGCATGGTTCTCGTCCACCAGGGCATCCTTTTCATTTCGGGTAATGTTGTAATTTCGTTCAAGCGCCTGAACCTCCTCCTGCAGCGCCCGCAAACTGGACGCATATCGCTCGCGTTGCTGCCGCTCTCGCTCTCGCTCTCGCTCTCGCTCTCGCTCTCGCTCTGTCAAGGCATTCCCGCTTGAGCTAAGCATCTTCAACATCTCTGGCTTTTGTTGTTGTTGTGGCTGCGCCATCTTCACCCGCTCCGCCACCGTTGCAGTCGTCAACCCTTGTTGTTGTGATTTGGCAGCAATAGTGGTCTGCCGCAGCTTTAACTCCCTTTCGTAGTGTTTTATCTGCAGATCCTTTTTGCGAAGCTTGTCGCGAAGCGCCTCCATCTCGGCATGCGCCTCCCCCAGCGCTACTGTCCTTTCCTTGAGTAGCCTCTCACTAATCTCCTCCGCTTGACTCCTGGCGCCAGCGGCAAGCTCCAGCTGCGCCCGCAGCCGCGCCACCTCTGCGCGGAGGCCGTCAATGATACTATCTCGCTGCAAACGACCCCTCTCAGCACACACAAGTGTCTCGTCAAGCGCGGTTATTTTATCATCAAACTGCTTCTCTTTTTCTCGCAAACGCTCCAACAGGGAGTCACGTTCGGAGATGCTGCTACTCTCTTCAGCCCTCTCACTCGACGTCGCAGAGAATGCGGGGGCGGCCACCTCCCTACCACGTTGAGCGGCCACGTTATCCTCTTGATCACATTTCAACCTTCGGGCCGTCGGCGACGGTGTTGGGAACTTCTCTCCCTTCTTTTGCTTGTGCGCATGGCCTTCACTGCGTACTAGTGTTGCTCGCGTCTCAGGGTGTTTCTTCTCGCTTCCTGCGTGGACATTCGAAGTGGTGGGGCGACGCAGCAACTCTGGGGATGAAATGACGTCTTCAAGGAGTTTTCGCCGCTGCCCACCCAATACGGACGACGACGACGACGAGGAGGAGGACAATGACGCTGCTGTCACTGCTGCGGCCCCCACCGTCTTACTCTCCGCCATCCAGGAAGAACTCTTCTTCGCCAGCTTGCGTCCCACGCGCGTCCGTGTGTCTCTGCCGAAGATCTAGAACAAGAACAACAGCAAGCGAAGCACTCTCACCTCCCGCCTCTCGTCGTTTTATCTATCCCCCTTACGTGAAGCGACGCTTATGCGCAGGAGAACAAAAAGATCAAGGGGCAGAAGTTCGGCTTAATTCCACAAACAAAAATAGAGAAAGAGAGAGAGAGCAAGTTAACTGAACAGTTTTGAGCTTACGTATTCAACCCGTCACCACGAAGGGGAACTAGTTGACGGGGCTGTTGCTCCGTCTCCAGGCCGCAAAGGGGCAGACAAACTTTAATAACGTACACAAACCAGCACGCCACGCCTATTGCACTTGACTTTCACCCCACGTCTTTTTTTTTCTTTTGCTTTTCCGTCTCCACTTAACTACACAACTCGGTTCGTTCAGACTCACAGCAGGTGCCGTATCGCTCAGGTCTTCTCTCCGCCCAGTTGCCTTCGCCCCCCAGGGCCATGTGTTGAATGGCAAAGTGACGGAAAGTCCGCCACCACCGATGATCGGCGCCCTCTCCCTGAATTGGAGGCTTCCCCCGCTATCAGTACAACTTCTTCTGCACTTTCTTGTGGAACGGTCACAGAAGCTTCAGTGGCAGACGGCTGTGCCACCGGTTCCATTTCCTCCGGTGAGGTAAGGGCGACAGGGGCACTGCCAACAATCCGCCTTGGCTCCTGTAGTGAAGGTGAAAAACTGTGCCTTTGTCGCATGCCACGCGATGCTGGTGGAAGTGCGGGTACGTCTTCCACGCCTTTCTCCATACACTTGGGAGAATCTAGCAAGGCCACCGCCACTGTTGCACTTTGCGTGGAACGGGTGGCACAACTTTCGTTCTTTTTGTCATTTCGGTTTGGTTGATTCAACTCTGTTTCCTGTTCCGGTTTGACAATAGGTGAAGAGGGCTTTGGCTGCTCAAGCTGAACAACCGTTTTTTTTTGCTCACGGCTTCGAAGGGGCACGACGTGCAACCGCGGTTCGTTGCTGGCATCATCAACATCCGCCTCCCACGTTTTTCTGCTTATCTGGTTCATCCTGTTGGGTCTCTTCACGGCCTTGACGATCACACCGGGGACCAAACTCGTCGGAACATCGCTACTGCCCATGATATTCGGGGGTTTGGGCGTCTGCTCTGTCGCTGGACTCACCTCATTTGCTTGCAGACGCTGCCCCCATTCTGGTCGTGGGCGCAGCGGTCCACCACCGGTATCTTTTCCCTCATCTTTCTCATCTGCATCCGTGGCAGGTGTGATGATGGTAACGGCGACCGCAGGCACGACCGGCATCGTTGGTGTGACGCTGCGTAGAACTGTATCATCCTCACGCTCAAAGGGCTCCACCACTTCTTCGAGGTCTTCACCACAATTTGTCGGCGTTGCCGCCTCACAGCTTGGTGACAAGTGGAGTGAACGCGTAACAGAACCCCCATCAGTCCTTGTGTTTTCTATAACTTTTGCTTCGCTGATGCCCTCAGACACAAGGGGGTCATTTCGCTTGTTGCCACGTGATGGATCAGCTGGCGTCTCTATATGGAACAATATATCTTCACTCCCCCCAGCAGCTGACAGCTCATTGAAGCTCACTTCCTGCCTTGCTGAGGTGGAGGACACGGGTTTTTCTTCTCCGCGTGACTGGGGCTGAGACAACTCTATTTTTACAGGTGACGTCCTGAGTTTCCCATGACCATACCCTTGAGAAAAGGAAGGGGCCTTTTGAGCTTTTGAAGGCTGCGACAGAAGCCTGCGTGGACTCTCAACGGGAGGAGGGATCCGCCGTGCTCTCGGCTTTGGTACAGCTATCTCATGTTGCTGTTCATTCTGGTGCATGGCATCGTGAGTGACAACGGACGCGTCTTCAGTGGATGGTGGACGCAGCGAAGAAAGTGACTGCGACTCCACGTGAGCGATATGCAAGGGCCAGTGGATAGCCCGCATTTCCCCTTTCAAGTTTTTATCACCATCAACCGTCGTCATGCTCCGCGTGACGGGCGCACCAGGCAGTACAAAGGACCCCGGCAATAAACTCGGAACAGGCGCTGGACACCACCGATCCTCTGTTTGTGGCTGCGGCTGTGGTGAGGTCAAACTCGATGGCACCTTCTGCGCCAATGCGGCCTCAACCGCCTGCAAAACAAACTCTCTTCGTGTTCTGGTAGCTGAAGAAGGCGGAGGTTTATCTGCCTCTTTCTGCCGCAGCAGCTGTGAGCCACAAAGTTCCATACGTTGTAGTGCGGTAGTAAAACGTCGCACGGTATCCCAGTCGTGCATCACACCCTTCGCAAACATCTCCATCTCCGTCTTCACTTGCGGGTCTACATTCGGTGCCGCCAGGGATTGCAGCACCTTCTCTGTATTCGTGACAGCGGTTTGCAACAAATCCGTCACAAGCGCCGCATCCTCCTGCACATCCAGAAGCTGTTGATGCCACCGTCGTTCGCCCAACTTCCACATCATCCGTTCTCGTCGAAGCACCTCTGTCTCATCCTCCAACTTCTTCACCCCTGACTCATATGCCCGACACCGCTCAAGCAGTTCCTCATTCTCCCGCCGTACGTGCGATAATCGAAGCTCGGCGTAACGGTCACTTTCAGCATGTTGTGCCACTAGACCCTCTGCATAAGCTGCTAGACGGGCAAACTCACGTCGAGCCTCAATGGACCAGGATTCAACGCATCCTGTTGACGGCATCGAAAAAGGCGGCGATATCGACAATAAAGACGCAGCCTGTGACACATCAGTGCCGGGCATAAGACGTTCCCGCATCTCCTGCAACCGCTGAGACGCCACCATCCTCTCCGCCTCTGCCAGACGGTTATCAAGAAGTTGTATATGTGACTGCGCCACCTCCAGCTCTTCTGAAACGCGTTCCGCATGTGCTTCAGCCTCACGCCGAAGAACATGGGTGTAAGCGAGTTCAACAAGAAGGTCTTCAATGTCGCTCCTTACCTGTGCGAGGCCCATGTCAGCTTCATGATGCGACAATGCATTTCCAGACCGCATTACACGCTGTTCAACAATGCCACGCAGACGACAGAGTTCCTCTTCGCAAATACGCAGTTCACGCTCCTTGGCATGCACAGCCGCATGCCACCTATCTACGGCACAAGACGCCTTATTCTCTTCTCCTGCAGCTTTTTGCAAGTTTTGAGCCTTGGAGTTTGCGCGTGCAAGAGACGCCTCTAGTTCCTCCACACGAGATTGGAGTTGAGTTCGATCTCGCATGGACTTCACAAGATGACGGGCAAGACTTTCTGTCTTTTGCGTCAACTCCTGAAGGGCGACATCCTGCGTCTCCAGTTCCTTGTGCAGGTCGTTATTTTCTTGTAATAACTCTTGCATCTCACCAGCGCAAGTGGAGATTACATCTTCATCCTTTTTTTTTCCGCCCCATCGACTACGTTTTCCCCAAGAAACAATACAGCTGGGTGGTGAGGCTGGTTGTCGTGGCGACATGGAACCGCTGTGGCGCCGGAAAGTGCAGACAAACATCTTCCTTGCTCGTACAGTGAGCCTTTCTTTTTTGCTTTGGAAGGTTTCGCGTCGTTTAGAGTACCACTAGAACGAGAAATTGAGGACGCACAAACCTCCCGTAAGGGGTCGCCCGGGCGTTGTGGTTGTCTCTGCATGATGCACTTCAGCAACTGCTCCTCTTCCCTCAGATCAAAATTTTCCTCACTCATGTCGCCTTCTGCAGGGGGAACACTAGTAGCCGGGTCTCCACCGGGACGTTGAAGGCTCAGAGGTGGCACAAACGGCACCACCCCGTTGGACAATTCTCGCCTCTCGTTCTCTGCTGCCCCATACGGATGGGCGGACTCCACCCCAGACATTCCAAAAAATTCCTCGACAAGACGCCGTTCTTTGCCTAGCGCGGCGTCCTCAACCAACGCTGGCGAGGACAAAGGGGGCAGTGTTTTCCTCGTCGGGGGCATACGAGTCGAGATGGTCTCCACTGCAGAGAATTCTGGAGGCGTTGAGATGCCACCTCGGTACGTGCGAGACGGTTCCACAGTATTTGCGGTGGATGAGGTACCCTTCGGCGGCTCGTAGGATACGAAGAGTGGCGTTGACATCGGCAGCGAGCCAGCATCTGTGCGGCTTGCGCTGCGTGGCATCAGCATCACCCCCGCATCGCCATACCTCGAGATACTTTCTAAGGAGCGCGGGGTTAACACAATGCCTGCCTCCAAAGCTCTACCGCTCTCAAAGTCAGTGCCGGCGTTGGGGTGCGCCGTAACACCACCAAGACCTTCTTCCGTCCGAAGTGCCGCCTCGCACAGGCGCTGTAAGACCATCTGCTGCTCCCCTAACTGACGCAGTCGCAACCGCCGCTCATTATCCTCGTCGTTAAGGTGAAAAACCTCGTCTATTTCCTGCAGCCTCGCCTGTAATGCCTTGGCGTCACGCTCCAGCGTCACCGAGCGAGAAGGCAGTGGGGGCGGTAAGAGCCCTGCATGTACTCGCTTTGGTGATGGCGAGGGCCCTTCCTTCACCCGCTGATGCGCCATCTTCCCTACATTCCCGCATACAAAAAAAAAAAAAAGAGGGTGGTCACGAGGCAAATAGTTCACAGGCATGGAGTCAGATGGAGACCAAGGCGTAGTGGACAACATTAACACACACGGCACGCATGGGCCCCATAGCTCTTCCCACACACACACACACACACAGTGCGTCCACGTGTAGGAGCTTAAAATTCTACGGTTCAAAGAACAGAACAAACAAACAGAAAAACAACAACACCAACACACATGTAAGGCAACTTGGGTCCAATAGCGGCGTAAAAACGAAAAAAAAAACAAAAACACAACAACAATAAGAACGACGATCAAATCTCTTTGTATTCCCAGCAGTGCCAAACATGCGTACAAAAACGAGCCTGAAAAAAAGTGAAAAACAAAACCAAAAGAAAACAAAGAAGAAAAAAAAAGAGACAGGAAAAAAGAAAGAATCTATGATAGTAAAGTAAACAAGGGGAACAAGAAGGTGGGTAATTGGCATTGCCTATATATATATATATATATATGCATGTATATGTGCTTCTGTCTAGCACAATTGCAAAGTTTCTGGGGGTTACCTTCCAAGTTTTTCATGAAAGCACTTTCCTTTTTTATTATTTTTTGCTGTTGATGCCCATTTCCTCCCCTTCACGTATTTATTACATTTCTTTTAGTCCACTTTGCCTCTACCCGTCTTGATTTCGGATCGGTGTTCTCGTTGTTTTCCTCCCCTCCCCTCCCCTCCCTGCTCTGTTCTTTGGGATGGCGTTTCCTCCCCTCTCCGGGAAGAGCAGGGCGATACACGCGGTGTTGGCGGGACGTTTGGGCAGAAGCAGGAGCAAAAACAAATTCATTGGCAATATGAGCAAGCACGCAATCAAAAAAAAAAAAGGTAAGTAAGTAGAAACTAACCCCTCAGGAATAAAAGCTCTTTGGCAGTTAGTACTTGACGTGGAAAACACGAAATATACATACAAGAGTCAGCATAAGCTAACCAACATACACGTGAGTGGCGTGGTTAAAAAAAAAAAAAGAAAAAACAAAACAAAACAAAACAAAATGAGTACATGAACAACAGACAATACATACATACATATATATATACATACATATATGTATATGCCAGTGTAACTTAAGAATGTGCGGATCCGCCGTGTCCCCCACCCTCCCCAACGACCCCCTACAGCATCAATGTGGACCTAAAAGGGAAAGTTAGGGTGATACGACAAAATATAATAATAATAATAATAATAATAATAATAATAATAATAACAAACAATTAAAAATATACATCACTGCATGCCTATTTCACTCAACCGCAACACATTCATCCATCTACCAAACCAAACACTGGAAAATGTAACATGATAATGATTCAATTAGGAAGGTTAATAAGGAAGTTATCACCCTTCATGCTCTTTCCACACGTCTCTTACATCAAAGCAAAACAACACAGAGAGGGGTGACGTGTGGTGTGGAAAGATAAAACAAGAAACAAAAAAAAAAAAACTACAGACACATGCATACCTGTCACATTCCAACTATGCTACGCGGACGCTGTTCCACACCTTAGCCACCGACCACATGGCTCGGCGCAGTCGGCATGTGCAGCCCACTTTTTTCACTGGCATGACACACACAAATTGTAAAATAAGAAACACACCCATAAGCAACACACGTATGTGTGGAATTCATGGAAGCCCACATCTATGTAAGCGTACTGATATGCATAATAAAGGTGGATGCCCCAATAGTTTGCTTATGCACTTAACGTTGGGCACTGTCATCAACGTGAAAAAAGTGCCAAGATTCAAAAAAGAGCCTTTCTTCCACCTTCCACCCTCTCCTGCCTCCTGGCGTGTCAGGCTCTCTCTCTCTTCTCTATAAATATATGTTTGTTTTTGTCATCTCACTCGTTTTTTTTTTTTCTTACTCCTACCGTCCAATGCAATTTTCAGATGTTCCAGACAGAAATTTGTTGACGTAAACGAATTAAGTTTTGCTTTACGGTAAAAGTAATATATATATATATATATATATATATTCTTTTCGTTCCCTTCAGGCGCCTCGCTGACATCAATGTGCCAATCTCACTTCAAAGGTAGTTGAATCCAGAACGCACCCACCAACGCGCACAAGCGTTCTCCTATACGGAACCTCATCCGTTTCTCGCCCTCCCACCCTCCCACCTCCCCTCCACACACACCTTCAACCTCCACCTTTTTTCCCCCTCTTGGGGCATGCGCACCATTTCCTACATAACCGCCCTCACGGCATCCTTGCTCAACGTATAGTGCACCACTGGCAGTGGCGAAGGAGAGAGAGAGAGAGGGTGAGTGGGTGGGTGAGAAACAAACGCTCAACAAACAAACAAATCAACAAAGAAAAAAAAAATAACCCCCCGTAGAGAACATGTGCTTCGAGCCTTTAAGGGTCGTTGTGGTAGTAATCAGAAGAAGGATACCCACATGTAAAAAACGAGAACACTCCTGTCCGCTGCATCTTCCTTTTTTTTTTCTCTCTCTCTCTCTCTGTGTGTGTGTGTACACGTGTGGATGTTTGCTCTTCGCTTCAGTGTGTCTCACTGGGCTGTTCAGAAGCTTCGTTTCCGTGTTGCTTTTGACTCTACGGAATTTAATTGTCCCAGTTTGAGCTGTTTGAGGCACATGGAGTTCGTCATGTATGCAGACAACATAACGGACATTGCAGAAAGATCCCGTGTTCTGCCTCTCCGGGATGGAGAAGACACGGAGTCAACTCCTGCGCCATCCTTGCTGCCCCTGCCGCCACTCAAATGTTCTCCTTGTAGTTTAGCTCCTCAAATTCGTTACTTTGCTTTGCGTCACAAAGTATGGAGAATCAATTGTCGTCGTACGACACTCTACAGTTTTCTTCTGAGCCGTCGTGAATGACTGAACTTTGCTCTTTGTTCTGTGACGGCTGCAATAAACAAAAAAAAAAAAAAAAAAGAAGAGACACCCGCGTCGCACGGCGTTGCTACTCGTTTCCTGGACATGGTGCAGAAGACCTCAGCTGGATGATGGAGCTCTGCAGCATGGGTGATGTGGTTGCCGTCTTGGAAATAATACTTATCGACCCACGTGTTTTGGCTGACGACGGGAAGTTTGGCTCCAGCACATAAGCGTCCCCACTTTGTCTTAGATGGTCATCGGGGGTGGAGACAGGGACGGCAGCACACTCATCAATGACGCTGCTGCAGGAGTTCCCTAAGGGACCATCGATTGACTGGGACTCGTGTCGTTTATACATGGTTGCATTTATTCTTCGTGGATCCTCACCACTCACAGGACGCAGGTGATGACCAAAGACATCGAAGAGAGCAGTTGTTTTGCTTGACACGACACGCCTCGAGACGAAGGCGTGCGGATTCCGTGGCCGTTGCACAACCGCTCTCGTCAACACCTCCGCGGCTCCCACAACAATTTCCTCTGGGATGGTCGCACTGCTTAAGCTCAAACTCCCACTTTCCAAACGACGATTGGCCCCCCTGTTTGCAGCGCCTCCCGTGGGGGTGGGTGATTTGTTGAGTGACTCATAGTGCCCCAGTGAAAGTTGCATCGCATTGTCCGCACGAGGGGTGGTACTTGTAAAGCACAGCTGAGTGAGGTTGGCGGCTAGAAGCGGCGTTACCTTTTGCCCCCGTGTCCGCGTTGTTGAGGAAATCCCCGGCATGTTTGTTGCAGTGTCTGAAGCCATCGTACCTCGCGGTCCCATGCCACACCTGACGATCAAAAAACAAGAGAAGAAGAAGAGAAACAAACACGCAGAAAAACAAGATAAATACACCGCGTACGCCCCGCTCATCCACGCAGACACAAAACACATGAGGAGGAATAAAAAACCTCCTTACAAAATAACAACAAGAAAAAATGTTTCTTCCCTTCTCTGCAGTTCCCCCCCCCTCCTCCTTTTTTACCCCCTCATTCAATCGTTTCAGCAGCTTCACGCAACACACAGACGCACACACACGGCAACCAGATATGCAGAAAGACAACAACAACAGCATTAACCTCCATGGCCATCCCATACACTCCTTGCACCCCCCTCACACGCAGAGGGGGAAATGCAACTAAAAGGATTCATCACTACTTCCTCTTCGACAGAAGAGAATGCCACTGTCAACATCATCGTCGGAGTCACGAGAAATCATGATGTTCTCTGTTGCCTGCTGCCGTTGACGAGCCTGGGCCATGTAGGCATCTAACGACGACGTGTTACGCCCACCGCCAAGGCTATCTTTTTCCTTTTCTTCGGCCGCTTGTCGTTGCATCAGCACCGCCTGCTGTGACTTTAGAGCCCATGCAATTCCACGACGGGCTGCATCCTCATCGCCCTCAACAAGCGTGCGTCTACTTGTCTCTTCTCTATAAAGTGCATCTTGCTCCTCTTTGAGTCGAAGAGCTGCGGTGGTAGTGGTGGTAACAGGTGTTTGCTGGTCCGCCGGCACCAAACTCAAAGAGGAGGAACGTACGGACGGAGCAGATGAGGATGACGATTGAGGCTTCAACGCTTCAGAGGCAGTAGAGCCGTTGGATTGTCTTTGGTTCGCCTGGGACTGCGAGGCCGAGAGTGACGACGACGGAAATGATTTTTCCTTCGCATCAGTCATCCCCTTCCCGCCACTTTGGCGACTACCGCTACTGCTGCGCCCCCCGCCATCATCGCCTTTCCGTTGCTCTTCTCTGTCGAGTTCATTTCCTTCCAACGCCTGAGGCGGCACCTCCACGGCCACCAAAGGTTGACACCTCGAGATGGAATCCGTGGCCACCCTGTCGAGACCCGGGTCAGCACTACTAGTAGTAGTAGCGGCGGGAGGGGCAGCCACATCAAGGGTCCTAATGGGCAGGGGACATGATGCACCGATGCCCTTCACCTCCCCCTCCCCCTTCTCCTGTTGCCACTGGTTTTGTTCTTGAGAGCTCTGCACGACGGATGTCGCAGGCTGTGACACAACCTGCGGCTCTGCGGGATACCGCTGTTTCTCCGTATCTTTCGCCTCCCGCCGCTCCGGGGGCGCAGCTGACTGCCATGCGGAAAGCCAAGATGCCTCACATGACTGCCGATTGTATTGCGATGGAGTGCCAGCTGCAGCCGACGCGCGCTGCTGGAACGCATTTGCTTTTGCCAGCGCCTCACAAATACTGGCTGTTTTCTCCCCTTCTCCCGCTTCGTCGCGCCAGCTGGTGACTCCGTGGGTCGACAGGATTGACTTCAAACGGAATCGCAGACGACCAATTTCTTCTTCCTTCAGTTGCAACTCTGCAAGGTGTTCGGCTTGAAGTCGACGCAGGTCTTCCACCCGCCTCCATTCCCGATCGCGTGCCGCATCAGCCTCCGCAAGTCGAACTCCACAAAGTTCCTCGTACTGTCGCACCTGGGTAGTCAAGACGCGTATCTGCAGCTTCGCGTCGTGCAGTCGTCCCTCCACGGCCGCAACCGCCTTGTCACGTTCCTCAAGCAGCCCCTGTAAATCGCGCTGTCGACGCTCTAGTTCAACGCGCTGTAGTTCCACGTCATCACGAGCCTGCCCTAGTCGTGCCCGTTCGGCCTCTATGCGTTGCACACTCACACGTTCCAACTCCCGCATCTCCTCCATTTTATGCTGCAACAAAACCCCATAGTGTTCCTCAGCAGACCGTCGAGCCTCATGCAGTTGTTGTTGTTCAAACGTTCGCAACCGCTGCTGATACCCCTGTTCCATCTGCAGCTGTAGGTCTTCTCGATAGGCAGACATACGACGATCCACTTCTTCCCGTGCCGATTCACGAAGCTGTGAAAAAGAAAGCGCATACTTCGCATCTACAGCGGCAAGGCGAAGCTCGAGCGGCGGCGGTGACAGTTCCGTTTCATTAATGTCGGTCTGCGTCCCTACTGTGTACCCGGGCGACTTACCTCGTGTATCACCTACCTGCTGCAAGTATGCCTCTAGAACAGACTGCAAGAGACTTGTCCTCCGTCGCTGCATCACCGATGTGTTGAGGTGCAGCAATCCTGCCAATGCGTCATCTCCACCCGATCCAAAGGAGACGTCCGCCTCACTGCTGAAAATGGCAAGTGAAAAGGAGCGGCCTGTGTGTCGCAGGTGACTTTCTACGAGCGCGTCCACAAGTCGTTGTGTCCACGTATCATCCTCTACCTCGTCTTCTTCACCTCCGTCATCACGCCCCTGTCGAACCACGGAAGCTTTAAGGGAGGCTCCTTTCCGTTTCAACAACTCGGAGACAATAACGCTGCGGAGCTGCGTCTTGAGCGAGCCTAAAGCACCACTGGAGCGAAGAAATTGTTGCATGCCAGCACGTAGCTCCGACACGGAAAGAGCATCAAGTTCAGTCGAAGTGAACGTGGAGGCTGCAGCCGGGACTGCAACAGCGGCAGCTGAAGTCAAAAGGGACGCGGCCGGCTCATCCGCTCCGCAGCGCGAGGATGAGGGAAGCATTTGAATCCTGCGTCGCTTGACTGCTTCGCAACTCCAAAGGCAGTAAAAGAGGCGGAGAGCAAGGGAGAGAGCTGCAACAAACAAAGTGGATAGACAGGAGGAGACGGAGCAGTCAAGGCGAAAACATTTTTGTTGATCCCGTATATATATATATATATATATATCCGTTTTTCTGCTCCCCACTCATGGCTTCGTCAATACCCTAGTAAGCCATCGCCTGACTGCGGAGGTATGTTTATGCGCTCACGGTGCAGACGGCCAGTGAGTCGCAGCTCGTGTGAGAAAAGCGGCGAGGACCACAACAATTGTGCCGCTGAAAGCACTGCTGCGCTATCCTCACTGGGGTGCTGCGGCAGCAAAGCAAGGCCCTCAAGAAGTGCTTGAAGGCTTAAAAGGTGCTGCTGAAGAAGTGGATCGGATGAATTGCAGTGCCCCGCCATTGATGGTATTTGTTTGACGTGCAGCTTCTCAATTAGCCGTCGCCGAACCCCGCGAACCACCTCACGAGCAAGCGGGACCGCGTCGAAGGTGAGACTATTGGGCAACGACGCAAGAGGTGCAGTTGATCCTCCCACCTTTTGCAGCTGCATCACCCACCGCGTCCTTGCAGACTGCGCCCACGCAATGACACGACGCAGCCACTCTGCACTGGGGCGTTGGCCCTCCACATCTGCCACTGTCACGGGCTGTGGGCGTGAAACCAATTCGAGAGGCAAAAGACACTGCGCCAGTGCAAGAACTACATCGTGTGGGTTGACAACGGCGTGAAAGGACGCTGCCCCGCACTGCTGCAGCTGCTGTGCCTGGACGCTCTCGTCATTGCAATTATTATTAGTATTATTGTTATTATCAGTATTCCGCTGGACTCCGCCAACGCGCCGTGTCGCCGCCAGTGCCATCGCACCCTCCAATTCACAGGAAGATGCCACCGCATCCACCAGTGTGTTCAACAACAAGACGTGAAAAAATCGATACGCCTCCATACGGACCTTGTAGTCCGTATCATCCCCACCTCGCAGCCCCTGCGGGCCCCCGTGCAAGACAAGCCCAAACTGGTAAGCCACTGCGGCAAACGCTGAGTAGAAGGCGGAATGTGAGGCATCTGTTTCGGAAGTCTGCCATTGCAATTGGGCGTTGATAGCCTCCGGAATCCATTCAAGTGGATAAAACTCGTAGCGAATGTCATCCATCAGAACCTTGAACTCCTGTGTGAAGTCTATCGTCCCTTCGGTAGAGTTGCTGCCATCATTCAGATAACTTTGCCTGCGTTGCAGCACAAACGGGTGCCTCAGCGTGCGTTCCTGCATGAGTGGTAATGCAAGCTTTTCAAATAAAGGCGCCAACTGCCGCAGCAGTTGCTGTACAAGACTGACGGTTTGCAGCTGCGTGTACACCACCAGGGAGGCCAACAACACCTCGCAACGGTAACGCAGCACTAGTCTGTGTTTCTCCTCCTCTGAAAGGCGTGCGGTGGAAAGGAGGTCACTGTCGTCGGCAAGAGAATTATGGCCGTCGCTGTCGTCAACGCCCTCCATGCGACTCCCGAGGGCCTGGAGCTGCACAATCATGGGCTGCACATCCGTGTTGCGAATCAAGACGCGCTCCGTCTCCTGTGCCGTCGTCCCACCGAGCCCGGAACTCTCAAAAAACTCTATCATCCTCTCCCCGGCAGCCTGATAGTAGGTCGGGATGACAAAAAGCGGCTGTCGCACACTTGCCTCGCCTGTGCCCTCGCCATCCTCATCATGCGCAGCAGTGTCGTTGTTTGCCGCGGCCTTTCCCACCGCGGCAAACAAGGATTCGTAGCTCTGCGGCAGAATATTTTGAAAACGTGACACATACGTACGGCGTCCAACAGCGGCGAGAAGCTCATCAAATGCTGCTCGACTGTTAAGCCGCACGCCATCTGCTCTTGTTACATCTTTCTGTTGTAATTTGTCCAGCACCCGAGCCCATCGCAAACACTCCGACCAGGGCCATTCAAATCCGACTTGCTGCAGTAACACCGGCAGGAGTACCTGCAGGAGCGCATCAACTTCGTGTAGTGTCAGTGCGCGCGACACCGCAGGGCGAACCGTCATTTGAAAAGAAGGATCTTCTTCTTTTTGTGGATGCTGCTGCGGTTTGTTCCTCCCAACGACCACCTTGCCGATGGATCTTGGCGCATCCTTCGCAACAACAGGAGGGAGGCGATGCGGTGTCACTACGCCGCCCACAACGGCAGCAAAGAAGAGTTCCTGCAGACACGCCACCGTGATAGTGGCAAAAAGGCCACCAGAGAGCACCTCTTCTTCTGCCTCTTCCTTCCCATACTTCTGCACCTTTTCGCGTTTCACAGCCTCCTGCAGCTCGACAAGGCTGCAAAGAAGAAGCGCTGCAGCACTCAATGGACACCGTCCCGTGCCATCTTCACGATAACAGCGATACGCGACGGCGTATTCCACAATACCCACAACAATGCCGCATGCCCGGGCCTTTGCCACCTTACCGCATCTGGAATTTACATACGCCAACAGCATGCAGGCACACGCCTTTTTTACGCGTGAAAATGCCTCCACGGTAAGTGCAGCAAATAGGCGGGCGCGGTGAGCCTCACTGATGAATTCGCCTTCCTCCTCCTCTTCCACCTTTTTCCACTTCTTACTCCGGCCACTGTCATCGGTGGAAGTTACGCTTTCCAAAGTAAATAAGAGAGGACATTGCGTCATTGTAACATCCAGCGAAATCATCACTTGGAGAGCGCTCTGAATCGCCTTCTCTTCCGTCATCGCCATCCCTGATTCGTCCCCTGGGGGCGGCGGACAACAACGTTGCCGTGTCACATCCAGGGCCTGTTGCACCAACTTTTCCAAAGATCTGGAGGGCGGTGTCACTGACGACGACGAGGGTGCGGGTGCGGAGAGGTGGTCATGGACGGCCAGGGCCCGAAATGCCCGCCCAAAGCACGATTCAGCCACATGAGGGAGCGGAGGATACATGCAATTCCCCCCCATCCTTTTCAGGGATTCTGCTTGCACATCAGCACCTCCCGACGTCTTAGAGAAACTCCGCCACCGCGCCTCGTATGCCTCAACCACATCGGCGGCAGGAAATCCCACCAGCGCCAGCGATTCCTCCAAGGACAAACCAAAATTCCCAGCTCCCCCCTTCTCCACACCAACGTTGTAATTATCGTCGCTCACAATTGTGGGGCGTAGCAGCGCCCTATGGTAAAAAAAGGGGCGGGACCAGGCTGTAAGGTAAAAGTACCATAACCACTGGTCCACCGTTTTTGACGTGTTGTCAGTGGCAGAGACGTCGGATGGCGCTGGCGGGGGCAACAAAAAACAAAACGGAGGCGCCCCCCCTCGCTCCACGGCACTGCTGTCAGTGGGCGTGGACGCCATAACGGTGATGTTTCCACCTAATACTGAAGCCAATGCCTTCAGACTTAATCCCTCACTTCGTTTCCAGCTGCTACGCCTGTGACCTCTTTCCTGTAGACTTCCTGTTGCTTGACTATACCTTTAGATGCTTCTTTTCTATTTTTCTTTCCCTCGCCTTTTTCTTTCGATGATGTTGCCGAGTTTGTATTTGTATTCCCACCTCCCCTCTGTGCGCGTGCGCGCCAAAAACTGCCCTGTCGTCGCACTCTACACCCCCCCCTTTTTTTCCCCCTCCTTTTCCTAAAGTAGCGATGGATGAACAGCGAGAACCAAAAACAAAACAAAACAAAACAAAAAAGATTCACAGCGCACACATCGCAGCGTGCCAGGCAGACACACACACGCACACACACAGACGTATATATATATATATATATATATATATATATACT